GGGGGGGCCGTCAGGAGGCGAGAAGCGGGGGGGTCGGATAAGGGGTGGGGACCTGGCACAGCCTCCCGTAACCGGCCCTCCATAGAATTTCAGAAACCCGATGTGGCCCTCAAGACAAAAAGTTTGCCCACCCCTGCTTTAGCGCACCAAAAGTGTATATGCACACCAAGCTGGTGAGAGACTAAGACCCCACTGTAAAATCAGGTCAAGAATCTTTTTAGCCTCTTCCCCCAGCCATCTGTTTATATCAGGGGTTCCTAAACTTCTTCCTGGCACAATCCCTTTTTAATAAAATTTCCTCCCAGGAGTCCAGAGAGCATGGAGGATGCCATTTTGTAGAGCAAAATCGTGTTCTCCAGAAAAAGATTTTTTAATTTGTAATCATGATTAATCATAATGGAAACCTGATTCAAAGAGTTAATGCTCATCCAATCAAAAAACAAGTATACCAAAAAACATACCACGTGGCCTTTGCATGCAATCAAAAAATTCATTTTAATGCTAGCAAACAAGCTACAGGCCAAGAATTATTCCCAGAAACTACTTGGCAAATAATTTTGAACAATAAATAAGTCTGAGAAATGACAAGTCCAGTCTCAGACAGGAAAAAGAGATTAATGATTGTATAAATTATTCATTATAATTTATTAGCTTGGCTCTGATTCTCAGTGCAGTTTTTTATTTCATTTTTTTCTTAAATTGAAAGTTTCAGATTATTAACCCAATTAGCGGTCTGATCCAAGATTTTTGAATCAGGTCCAGAGGGTACAACAGAAGGTCCTAAAAATATAGGCCTAAATCTTCCAAAGTGACTAGTGATTTTGCATGCCTCTGTTATTGGGTGTCCTGACTTTCAGCATATTGGTACTCAGCACCTTCTGGACATCAGGCCTCTTTAAAGTATCCAAAGTGGGACCCAAAATCCTTAGTCACTTTGGAAAATTTAGACCAGAATATGTTACTTTTTGGCAGCCACAGACTGGAAAATTATGGTGTGCTGAAGGAATTACCCCATCATGCACTGCAGAACAAAAGAGAACTATACTGTATGTTACATGACCGCATTATGGTTGCATGCAGGTAGAAAATGTTACGCTGTTATCCCAGTTGCTTAAAGGGTTGTGTTTCAGTGTTGCTGTTTCATCTGTGGAGATCAAAGTTGTGCTCAAAATTGAATTACTCTAAATTGCCATGACATGCAGCAACCTGTGGAAATAGGTTTCTGAGAGTTTTTAATGGCTCGTGTAGTATGTTGCAGTTGTTTCTGGTACTGGAGGAAATCAGTAACACACAGGGAGGAAATAGCCACTTTTACTGGAAAAAGACCATTTCTGAGGTTGTATAGACATTGAGAGAACCTTGGGTGCTTGTTTTGTTATTTAAGACTTCGGGCAAGTGCTATATTTAATAAATTTTTAGATCAGTGTGGGTTTCCTGGGGAAAAAGTCTGAGTTTAGGCTAGATCCAAACTTTCTGAGACCCATCATCTTTTTAATTCTTTTTAAACCATGATCGACTCTTCCCTCCCTCCCACCCGGCTATATTCTGTTCCTGTTTGATCCAGCAGTAAAGTTGTAATATATTGGACTGGCCTTCAGTATCAAACACGAAGGAGATTCTGAACTAGGAGGAAGCATGTGGTTCGTAAGTCACGACGGTAGTGATTAAGAGGAAATACTGAAAACACCTGGCAGTGAATATTAGGAGAAACCCGGGCCCCTTTGAAGTTAATGGTAAAAAGCCTCCACTGACTTCAAGGGAGCCAGGATGCCACCCATTATGTTTGATGTGCAACTCATCTTCATATGTGTAGGTTTCTTCAGAAAGAGAAAAGATTCATAGAAATTAGAGATGCAAAAAGACCTATACTGTCCCAAGCAGCCTACCCTCAGGGGCCAGTGCAGGCTTGGTGCCTCCACTGTATCTTCTTGGGCTTCATCCATATTCGTCCAAACTATGGAAGAGAAGAGAGGAACTTCCACTCAGTTCAGAGAAGCCACCAGACCTTTGGCTTCTTATCGGAAATCCAAACTTTTGAGTCTCTGGTTATTAAAAATTCATCGGGTTTGTAAAACAAACTTCTTGTGATCTAGCATTCCCCAGTCCACCAGCTTTTTGGAGACTGATATAATAGGAGGCTCACAGGAGAGAAAACACAACGCTTAGTTAACTGCACAAGTGCTCAGTTCCATCTGAAAAAAGAAAAGGAGTACTTGTGGCACCTTAGAGACTAACCAATTTATTTGAGCATGAGCTTTCGTGAGCTACAGCTCACTTCAATTGGTTAGTCTCTAAGGTGCCACAAGTACTCCTTTTCTTTTTGCGAATACAGACTAGCACGGCTGTTCCTCTGAGTTCCATCTGAGTTTGCTCAGGGCTCTGGTAACCTCTAGTCCATACTGAACACAGGTATTACCAGAGTCACTCCCATAATAGCATTAATCACCACCTTTAGGGCTTGTCTACCCTGTTCCTGAATAATTCCATGTGCAGACAGATTTTCACCAGCGAGATAAGAGCTGTTTCTTATTATTCCAAACTAAGATGCTCACCTACCCATTTTCCTAAGCATATGCTTCAGTGCAGCTGGCTTAGCCCACTGGGATATTATAATGTTAAGTCACTACGATACTTGGAAGGAGAGGCCTCAGCTTTCTTTCTGGCAATGAAGCAAATGAACATAACAAATTTCTGGTGTAAGACTGTCAGTATTTGAAGGATCAGATCCACAGAAACATTGTGTGAAAATTCTGATAAACATTCTGTTTAGAAACCATTAGTCCCTGAGATCATATTTTCTGAGGTTCTCTTCCCCAGTTTTTGTTTTTTGTTTTCCCCCCATTATCCATATAATCTTCTGATCTATCTAATCTATTTAAAGTGTTTTATGCTGCTTCCCATAGCTGTAGTATCTTTGCTATTGACTTTGCATGGAAGGTGCTAAGTCCCCAGCAGACTTCGTGGTGTCTCTGGCACTTCTCCCTTTCCAGGGTCAAAACTTCTTGAGATAGGGATTTTTTGGGAGGAGGTTGGGAATAGAAGGGGATGTTTATATTGTGAGCATCACATATGGTGGAAAGGCTTTCTCAAAGAGATGGCTTTGCAATGTTTCCTGAAGATGCTCAGGCTCTGGATTAAGAAAGTCATCAAGAAAAAGGATACTTTATTCTTAAGGCCCTGGTCCAAAGCCTATTGAAGTCAATGGAAAACTTCCATTTGACTTCAATGTGTTTGGAACAGGTCTTAAGCCTAGAAAAGATAGTCAGGTGGATAGACCACTGGAGCTCAAGAGACCTGGATTCACTTCCAGATTTTGTCACAGACTTCCTGTGAGAGCATGGGCAAGTCACTTAATCTATCCTGTGCCTCAGTTCCCCATCTGTAAAATGGGGATAATACCTCCCTATCTCATATGGGTGGTGTGAGGATAAATTCTGTTAATTGTGATGTGCTCCTGAAAAAAGCCATATTTGTAGATAGCTCTTCTGCGCTATATATCTTGATCCTTTCTATGTCAAATCCCAAACAGTTGTTGTGATAAGAAATAATTGTTGCTCTATTTCACTGAGGGAATCTCACAGCTTTACAAACGTTAATCAATTTAGCCTCACCATAGTATTATTATTATCCTCATTTTACAAGGGGGAAGTCGAGGCACTTATGCCTTGTCTATGCTGGCATTTTCTTCAAACACCCCCCTCCCCAAGCCCCCAGTGAAACTCCACCAGTAATAGCAAGAGTGAAATGGCTGGCATAAACCACCTAATGGTGTTTTGACTATCCTATCTAGACCAGCTCTGACTTAGATCCAGAGTGGTTAAAATGCCAGCAGCCGGTCTAAGCTAACACTTCCTCTGTTGCTACCACCAGTGCAGCTGCATATGTTGTAATGAATTGGTGGAAATGTTGAAAAGTAATGACACTGCAGACACAGTAGAAGGGTGAATTGGCTTGCCCAAAGTCACAGTTGCAGATATTTTGAAAAAATATTTTAAATCTTTCATTTTAATGACAGTAGAATCTTACTAATGGAATTTACTGAATTTTGTGAATTAGCATATATGTAAAGACACCCCACCCCCGAGAAACCAAAGATACATGCATCAAATGCAGTTTGTCCACTTAGTTTTGATTATATATAATGCTTTGGAGTACATTAGCGAATGTTGCATGTATAATTTGCAAAACTAATGAGGTCTTAATAATATGAGGCCGCATAACAGTGCTGGCTCTGGTGGTGAAACTTTGCAGAGAAATGGGGAGGTACTGCAATTTCATCTGCGTGAATTATGAGATGTGAAGATTAGCAAGATTCTACTGTACAAATCTATGCACAAAACTATTCACACAGGGCCAAATCCCCAGCTGGTGAAAATAATTACTGTGGAGCTATGTTGATTTGTGCCTGAGGGTCTGGTTATATAAATCTCAGTTATCTCAAACTCTCTGTTAGCTGAAACTGAGTTATGATTGCTTTTGTATTAATTACAGTGAAAATTCCCCAATTATCCAAAATCTCAGTTATCCAGAATTATTCAGTCTTCTCATTCAGGTCCCAGTAACTGAGTACTGTATACTCTTATTTAGTAAACTACAGTAGGGTAGCAGGGGGTAAATTGCAATGGTCTAGTTATTTATGGGTCACACATTATTCATGGTCCAGGGGACAGTGCACTAGACTTGGGTTCTGTTCCTCATTCTGCTGTTGACTTGTAGTGTGACTTCGAACAAATTACTTTACCTTCCTGTGCCTCTGTAAAACAGAGGTAATAATCCTCATTATGAGGCTGAGGTCTACAGAAGAAAATCACTGCATAAGTGCTAAGTATTGTTATGATGTACTAGATTATGAGGAGCCTTGTGAATGACTATCCTTTCTCCCTTAAAAACAGATTCCGCAGATTCTCCTCTTGGTCCCAGTCCAAGCAGGAGCAAGTAAAGGGAACGACAGTGAGACTGTCATATATTCAAAGTGTATTTTACATGTATCTTTATTTTAGATCAGTGGTTGTTCACCACATGTGGTGCCAGTGGACCGCAGGGACCCACTCAGACCCAGTGCAATGACGCCTACAGGAACTCCAATCTCAGTGTTATAGTGGGGGCTGAAGGAATTCTTCAAGGTGTGCAGATCTGGAGAGTGCCAGCAACCAATACCTACAGGTGAGAGACTCTGTCATTTTCATGACATGTCACTGACAAGATTGAAATTTTCTCCCAGCTCCAAATATGTCCTGAGCACATCAGATGACTATTCTCAGAATAGTAGAACTTGGCCAAATGTGGATGGATTTTCATGGGTATAGCAAAAGGCACATCTCTGACCCAAGGGGTACTTCCCTGCCAAATTTCAAGTTTGTGATCCAAAGAATGGAGACACAAGAGTGCTTCAAATAAATGGTTGGAAAAAAAATAATAATGGCAAAATTGTCTGTTTTCCCTGCTTTGTTCTGAGGAAGAGCTGAACTGTTTTGCTGAAACTTAAAAATCAGCCTGAGGCAGAGACCAAGCATGGGAAATTTCAGCTCAAATTATTACAGTCTGGCAAAGTTATAAGCAACTGACAACAGGGGCTTTATATGGGAAGTGATGAGCAACCTTAGATATAAGATGAAGTGAGCTGTAATTCACGAAAGCTTATGCTCAAATAAATTTGTTAGTCTCTAAGGTGCCACAAGTCCTCCTTTCCCTTAGCTATATGGATCACTGTCTGTTCTACCTTTAATTTAATAGAATCATCGAGATGTGCACATACCAAAATTAAATAAACTCTTTAGGGCAGGAAACATATGTTTGTTTGTCTGTTGATCTGCGAAGTGTCTGTCCACCTCTGAGTCCTGTAAAAACAATGATGATAAAAAAGAAAATGAGAAAGCGAGATTGACAGCTCAAGCATTTGACATACATGTGCTCTAACCACATATGCAAACTCCGCCATTGCCAGCTAAATGACATTAATTTCACATTGATTTCTGTAGCACTTCCTGAAGTAACGGAACTGCTCCATTAGTTCAGTGAGTAGAGCAGACCTATAAACCCTGGATTAGGTCTGACATCCCATCCACTTGAGAGCAGTAATGTGTGTGCAGAGGTCAGGAGCCCATAACTAGCCTCCACCAAACCTGAACTGCTGCTCAATAACCCAAAGCACATGCACATCCCACTAATTTCAGTGGAATGATGGGCAGCACAACAGGTACATCGATACACTAACTGATGAAATTTGGCCCTGAATTTTTTGATTGCTAGAAACAAGTTTTTATGAAATGTACAATTTAAGAAATGTTTCCACACATTTTTTAACAAGTAATAATTCTCCTGCAGTGTGTGCAATGGCAGGTTTGTGCTAGTGGATGAGATCCCAAAAGTGACATTGAGTAGAAACAAAAGTGAAACTGACTTATCTAGTTTCCTTCTTTCATTGGGAGAGCTGAGAGAAGTGCAAACTGGTAAATAAACATATCCAATGGTGTGGGGCCAGAAACATAATTTTTTTCATTTTAATAATCTACGATGTAGCTTATAATGTAAAGACAATTTTTTTTAAACTTAAATGACTTACTACCCGATACTTTTAATAACTGGGTCCCTTTCTTTTTCTTCAGTGAATTTTTATTGATATGGGTATTTGCTATCCTGAACGAATTGTGCTTGTTAGCGTGACCTTTCCAGGCTTATCCAACAGGCAATTCTGCTACAGAAGTGCTAAAATTAGCAGTTTAAATTTAACAGAGGCCTGTTTAATTGGCGACACTCTAGTCAACAAATAGAGATAGTCAGACATGGTTCAAAATAATTTAATCAGGCTGCTGCGACTGGAAAAAAAAAAGTTGTTGGCCCTTGATAAAAGGGCACAGTCAAAATTGAACCTACTGTAACTAAACAATAACATTGGGCCATATTGTGCTGTCGATTTTTTTTTTTTAAGCAGAACTCTCCATTCAAATCAATTATTCTGCAGTGGATTTTTAAGCAGAACTCCCCTCTGAAGACAAGGGTAGAGTTCTGCTTGACACTCATTGACACATTCAGATCTTTTATTATTTTTTAAACTTCTTTGTTTTTATTGAAAAGGAATTTCAGTATTGGGGACGCATCTCAATCCTCAATGTCAGGGGACACCAACAAAATAACAAGAGGGCAGCCTTGTGAAATTGACTGGGCCAGGCACAAAATCTGTTTGCACACCTATTACCCTGAGGATTGATGACAAAGGGGAAAAAAAAAAACTAATGATGTTTTACTCACCCATCAAAAAAAATGACTTGCCTTGAGTGCGTGGGTGAGTAGAATTTTTCAAGGCTGGCATACAGTGAATATGCATATAAAATATAACCCCAAAGAGGTGAGGCAATAAATTAAACACATAAACCTGACATTTCTTTAATATCACACAGCCCAAGGAAGATCCAAAAGTCTGCAGCAACTACAGGCTGATTTTGCCGCATAGTACAGATTGCAAGTAGAGCTAAAATTCCAACTCTTCAGTGTAGGTACCTGTCTTCTTCCATGTCTGTAAAACCCCTGGCACACTTTTAGGGTCTGTGTAAGTAATTAATGGCTAACAGACTAGCTTAGTTCCTGATCTACAACTGGAGTCAGATGTTGTTCCGCACCCCTTAAAGATGCAGCACAGAACTCACAGCCAGTTGGATTGGTGGGGTGGGGGGTGCGATTGTGGTTCAAACCATCTTTGTGCCCTTCTGATCCTGGACTTCTGCAGGAGCTGGACAGGCCCCCAGCATAACCTAGACAGCCCTGGGGACATGTCAAGTTACAACAGCTTCCCAAGGCTGCCCAGAATAGCACTGCATGCTACATCCCTGCCCCTGATTTATCCCTCCTACTCCTAGCCCCCAGCATGCCCGCTGTGCAAGGAGGATCTGTAGAAGTTAGCCTTACAGCTGTCTGCACACAGCCTGCACCAAGGGAGAAAAGGCTGCTGGATTTGGGGCTTTTACAGCCACTTTCTGTCACTCCAGCCCTTTCACCCAGTGTGAAGGAGCCGGAGCAGGGTTGAGGCCCTCAATCCTGATATTGATCTATCTAATAGATATTAAAAAGGGTGTATCTAATCCGCTCGGCACTTTGGACACAAGTTAAAATATACTTTTGTGACATTCTGTTCTCAAGACACCCAGACCTAAACAACTGTGTTTCCTCTCAGCACCAACAAGAGTGAACTTTGCTGGAGTTTAGACTCTGAGACAGCTCCCTGCCACATCAGTCTGTCTGCTTCACGAGCCAATTCTCAACACTCTGCCAGTCTAAACCTTGCCTTGCAGGGAATAGTCACTGTCACTGAACCCCAGTTCCTGTGTTCCCCAGAGACGTCTCCCTGCCGTGTCCAGTCCCTCTCACAGGACGCTTGCAGAAGTTAAGTTCGCTGCCTACAAAGAGACAGTGTATACACCTGTCTGTTAAGCTAGCTGAAAACGCGAACTCAGTTCATTATAGCAGCACTAAGATAAATTAATAATAAAACAAAAATAAGTTCATTAACAAAGAACAGAGATTTAAGTGATATTAAGCAAGAGAAGAAGAGACAGGTATAGTTACAAACAAAGCACACTTTCTAGTGACAGGTTTCAGAGTAACAGCCGTGTTAGTCTGTATTTGCAAAAAGAAAAGGAGTACTTGTGGCACCTTAGAGACTAACCAAATAAATTGGTTAGCCTCTAAGGTGCCACAAGTACTCCTTTTCTTTCTAGTGACAAACTTAGCTTTAGCAAGTTACAATCTTTTCCTAAGCATTTTTCTCACTTACATCAAGTTCCCAGGATCTCTAGCCCTCAGACTAGGGGATCCAACTTTCACAGGCTCAGAGGTTCCCTGCATGATAGATAACTAGAATGTCTTTTTGGTCTCCTTATATTACCCAAAGTCCATTGTCTCTGCCTCAAGAGCCAGGAAGGCGTCCTGCAGAGCAGACTCTATCCCCTGCTGGGCTTACTAAGTTGTCTCCTTCCTCGCTCATTGGCTTGATAGCTTTGTTTACCTTATATGTAAACATACTTTTGTTGTCCTCTGCCTGTAATCAAGCCAGCCAGATAAGTAAACCCACATTCCTTTGGCTAGGGCAGGTTGGCTGTACGCATTGCCTCCCAAACCACATTTTAAGACCATATTTCCAACAAAGATATAATTCTTTGCACACAACCTGTACTTACGTCACAAAATGATTTTCAAGGACCAGCGTGTCACCAGTTGACATATGATAGTTTCCATGACATATTTTGGATACATATTACGATAACTGTGTTGGGAGTGGTGAGTGTGTCAGGCCTGATGTGAGTTACAGTATAGTGGGCCCTCTGCCCTTTGGCATTGAGGCATTTCCAGGGTCACAACTTACCAGAATAAAAACAGTAGCAGAAGGATAGTTCATTCCCCAGCAAAACTCCCCTCTGACATGAACAGCAGCCCCCAGCAAAACCCACCCTCACCAAAGTTCTGAATAGACAGCTAAGCCTTGCAGCCTGCCCTGAAGGTCAACAGACCTGAGCTATTTCAGTTCAAGGCCCTAATGGGCTGCCCATGTGAGCAAGGAGAGCTGGATTTGGCCCCTGTTGGATTTTACACTGCAAAGACCAGCAGCATCAGGCAAAACAAGACAATATGTATTTTATCATCCAATTTCCTTCTGGAGCTTACTATGAAATCTTCCATCCCTTCACACCCAGGGCTATGATCAAAGATGGGGGAGTGGATGAGGAAAAAATAAGACCCACTCCCATCCTCCATGCATGTTCACCCATTTTTAGAACCACACCCTAAAAGATCCTTTCAGTCAGGTTCACTGTATTTCCCACTCTGTCATTTTAACTGGTGCCTGGCACTTCCAAGTCCCATGTGGGACTGGAATCCTATGACAGAGGCTATTCTTGATCATGCAGTGGTCCAGCCTTGACATCCTGATCATTTTTCCTCTCCCCAAATCATCTCCATTTCTTTCTCCACGCTGCTGCTTTTGTGTGGAATGGCATCTCCATCCCCAGTTTGCTTATCCACTGTCCTGTCCTTTCATGCAGATCCCCCTAAAGACTCACATCTTCCTCAATGTGCACAAGTCATGATATAATAAAAGCCAAAAGAAAGGAAGGCAGGAAGGAAATGTAAATTATTCCCTCCTCTGGATTTCCTGGGCTGTTGTCTGTCTCTTT